GAAGGGGTGTGTGTGTGTGTGTGTGTATATATATATATATATATATATAAAAAATCAACACATTAGGAAAGGTTAGGCTAAAATGTTTGTTCCTCAGCTACTGTTTTTCTCTATATGAGTAGTTGAGTGGCAGAACATTAAAAATATCCCACCTGTTGTCTAAAGTGATTGTCCAGATAGATTTAAAACTATATTTTCTTTGTGACAACTAGGTTGAAGGGTTCTAGGAAAAGTAAGATGAGGTCTTTCATTGTAGATGTATAATCTTTGGAGCTGGGCAGAATTTGGTAGATTTCTTCAACTGAATACTTTCCATTACATTTGAATACTATTTGGATAGCTTCTGTTTGTTTATTTACAAATGTATTGGCTACATGGATGGCAACATAATCATGAAATTTCAATTATCTGCATAATCAGTGCACCTTTCAAGATGTCCACACCAATTTAAACTTTATGTCTTTTAGAACCTTTGTTCCAAGTGCATGTTTTTTGTTCATATTACTTTAAATTAGGTTGTTTGGTAGGTTGTTGCTTTTTTGTACTTTCATAAAGTATCTCATAAATCAGTGGTAGCCATTGAAAAAGCAAAATCCATTTGGGTGCAATGTTTTTATCAATTCAACTTAAGGTTGCAAAATTTTGTGTAAGCTTTTGCATTCTCCAGAAAATTCTTATTCAATCTAGATAGTGAACAAAGAGTGGGGGGGTCACTGATATTGTATGTCTGCATTTAGTAACAGTTTTACTAAACAAAGAAAAATTATATCTATTTTTTCTCCTTTTTCAAATCGGTACAAATCAAATTGTTATTAGGAATTTCATATATGCAATAATGATAGTATTAAGTTATATTTGAGTTTCACAGTATATTGTATTTGGGTTTCTTTGTTTTAATTTCTCAGTGTTGTACATGTGTGTAGTTTCCACTGTTTCCATGTATTAAAATATGTTTGCTTTACTTACAATGTGCTATGAAAATTATATTAAATGCATTTCTAAATGTTGTTAGACAGATATATTCTGTATTTTAAGTAGGTCTTAAGGTGTTTTTTTGTTTGTTTGGAGAATGTGACCTACTTTTGAATTTCAACCATTGAGAAAAACATTTGTGGGAATGATTCTCTTTTTTATGTATCTAAATTGTAAATACAGTAGGTAAGAATTTTGAGGATTGGGATGGTTGGTTTGTTTTTTGGTAGTCTGCAATTATTTAAAATTATCTCATAGTTCCAGTTCTCCCTGTCCCTCTCTCTCTCTCTAGATATATATATGTATATGTACATGTACAGGTACATATATATATATATATTGATTAACAGGGTACCATGAAATTTTGATACAGCAGGACACTACCTTTACTAAGAGTGATATTAATGTTAGAGAATGAGCAAGCTTTTGGATTCTCTAGTATGCTTAATTAGACAACATTAACTAAAGGGTCTGGCAGTTTTGATAACACTGCATGATGTGCTGTCAGAACTCTGCTAAATTCTAAGTTTAGCAAATTAGGCAAGTCCAACCTATTGTCTGTCTTCTTAGTTTCAGTCTGGTTAAATCTATTTTCTTAATAGTTACATTATTACAGTTAATTCCATTGTGATTCAAAGGCTTATGGAATACAAGTCATTTCTTTTCTGCCAACCTCTTTATGGATCCTATTTATTTTTTAAAGAAACCATACATATATGTAGTAGTAACAACTGTTATATCAAACAACTACTATGCCAGTTTGGTATTCTTTGTGGATTTGCTGGCACAATATACCCTAATGCTAATTCATTGTTCATAAGTTTGTTAATACAGTATGATGTTACAAAGATGAATATGGTTAAAAAAGACTTTGAATACAGGTAGTCCTCGGTTAACAACAGTAATTGGGACCAGAATTTCCATCACTAAGTGATGCGTTTGTAAAGCACGATGTTATGTGACCTCATCGCTTAGCGATGGCAGTCCTGGTTGCCATCGTTAACCGAATCCCACCCGGTCATTAGGCGAGGATCCACCCTGATCCAAGCCATTCCTGGCTTGGTCCCTCCCAGCCCCAAGCCTTAGTAAGTTAAGGGACTGCCTTCTCTTCAACTCTCCCCACCGCCTATCTCCTTCTCCACCTCTCCTGTTTTGACCACCCTGCTCTCCGCCACCTCTGCTTGCCCTGCCGCCCCCAAAGGACCTTCACTGTCTTCTTTCTCCCACTGCTGATGGGGTGCACCTAGCCTGGCCCTTCATTAGGCAACTGCTGGCTGCACCAAGCCTTCTTCATGAGGCCGTGTATGCCCTTGTCCAGATCAAAGCCTCACGAGAAGGCCGCATATAATTCGGACAAGGGTGCACATGGCCTCGGGAATATACTTTTTTAAAATAATACTTTGAGCCAATATTCATTGTCTTTATTTTTAACGATGTGATACAGTACACTGTTTGGGGTAATGTCTGCGTAACCAGAATACCTTTATTTATTAATAGGTCTTAGATGAAGACAGATCACATTCTGGGTATCAATATTGCAAGATTATGGATAGTTCTAAAGGGTTATCTTAACATTGTATAAGTCATAGAAAGCATCTTAATTTCACTGGTCTAGTCTTGGCCTGGATCAGAAGATTCAGTGAAAGTGGGACTTAACTGTTGTTTCTTCAAGTTAGGTCAACCTCTTGTTGAGAAAATGTT